AGATGATACCTGGGCAAAGCAGGAGTCCAGCATGGAGGGATAACAGGAGAGACGCTTATGGGGAAATACTTCCTATCTGGGAACAGAATGGACTTGTTCCTGAGAGAAAAAAATACAAACCCGTGATTTACTCAAGAGGCTGCCAATGACATTGGAGAAAAAATTCTGTTAGCCATTTTGAGGACAGCAGCTTTGGTCAAGTGAAGAAGACAGAAAACAGATTACCAGGAATTAAAAAGAACCAGAGACTGGAGTGCTCATCCATCAGTTGTACAGGCAAAGAAGAGACAGAAGACAGGGCCTTGGCTGAATGAGGACTGAAGGGATGTGAGAAGCAACAGCAAGTCTGGCAAGAGATGCGTATGATAAGCCTGCATAACTGAGAATAACAAAGAGGAAGCAAGACTGGGATCTGGCCAGGAATAAGGAGGGAAATTAAAAAGGGAAATGAAATTTGTCATAGTAAGACATACAGTAAAAGTATCAGTGCTTACAGCATGGTTTTGTATAATCCACGTCAATAAGCTGCAGTGGCACTGATGGCCTCTTCATGAAGGCACTGGCACTTTATCTAGGGGTTCTTCTGACTTCCTTCTATTGTCAGCATTGTGCAAGCATATATACATTAATATCTTTCCTGGCCCTGCCCTTCTCACATCCTCTTTTCACTAAGATCTCTTTGCTCTTCTTCTAACAAAACTGCTATGCCTGTTCAGCTTCCAGTACTGGAAGTCCTCTGGCAGTGACAAATACGTGGGTTTATCACACCAAGGTCTTACATACGAAAACACTGTAGATAAAGGGGCTGAAGGATCTTAAAGAATAGCTAAAGAACATTTGCACTTTTGGGTGAACTAAGGAGTTCACTCCTCATTAAGCCGGCTGCTCCCAAGGAGACTGCATAGGATGAAGTAGTAAAGGCAATACAAGGAACAAATTAATTAACAACTGTCCCTTAAAGCAACTGATTTAAGGGCAAACAAAAATATTTCTGAAGAGCTGAAAACTCAGTCAATGCTACTTCTTCTGTAGTCTCGCTATTCTGACAAAAACTGTTCCTCTAAATTGCCTGTGAAAAAAAGTCTGATGCCACATACCTAGCCAGTAGCTGGATTTGCACAGCACATAGTAGCCAGCTCTGGCAGGACAACAGTGGACAACACACACAAACCTCAGTGCCAGCCCAGGGCTAGTGGAGTCCCTGCTGACATAGCCTTCTGTGCGTTGTGTTCAAAATGCAATTACTCTTTGAGAGGTGGCTGTATAAAAATAGCGCTCCATTTCACATGAAAATCTGTGCCCTTTGTGTCTCCAATTTTTTGTTTCCTGAGAAAAGCTATTTTACAGTGCCAGCCACCCCACTGCAGGGTCATTACAGCAAGAGAACTGGAGACTTTGACACGCTTTTTCATTAATAATGGTAATCTAAACTCAGTCAGGCCAGTCTAAACTTAATTTTTTGCTATCACCAGGAGAGACAGAAAAGAGACTGATTTTCCACATCTTGTTTCACATGTGCCACAGCAGCCAGTCTTTGACTACAACAAATGAATAAGACAGAACGTATTTCCACACAGCAGCTCTCACTTTTAACAGAACTTCAGCTATTTTACATAGTTCAAGAACAGTAAAAAATATGTAGAGATTAGAAGCAAATGGGCACATACACTACACAAAAGGTCTGCATGTTTTGATAAGAAGTGATGCGATGTATTTCCAGGAGGTACTAAAAATAGCCTTTTATTTTTATAGAACAAATGGTGCATTGGTAGAGCTTGTACAGAGTCCCTGTACTGATCTTCAGTGATGAGTTAAAACACATCCATCATAGCCCAGTTTACAATCTGTGTGTAACTATCATCATCAATGCTACATATGTCAATAAATGCCCCAGGAGCCATACATCAACATCACATTAGTATAAATCCATTACAACTCGTGATGTTGCATTGCTCTAGGGTCACTGAGATCAGCATCTTTCAGTGATTTTCCCACCCTACCCTCTCCATCTCTCCTTTGACTGAAGCATAAGTTTTTGTAGCCATCCCGAGTTGTTATGAGCAACAGATATAAAAGAACACAGAAGAAATTATTTCTGCCTCTACCTGGTAAACTGACAAGCTTTTGTTTAAAAGGCACAGGCTTCTACAGAAATATTCATGTCCCTTACAGGTTTTGCTGCTATGTTTCCTGAATAACTTTTAAACAAATAGAGGTCTACATAAGATGTTTGGATGAATTAACAAGTCGTTGTCAAAAAGATTTTATGTGGCTTCTTGATAACTCCTTTCAGGAAAACATTTAATAAATAAGAAGGATCCAGTACTAAAAAGCAAAGAAATTTTCTTCCATCAATCAGAGAAATCTTGGGGATTTTTTCTTTAGAGATGGAGGAGAAGGGGAACAATTTACTGGTATATCTAAAAATGGAACTGCTTTTCTACTATTATTTACTATTTTCACATTCAACCTGCAGTGAATTCTAAAAAGTTGCAATTGATGGAATTGCATACTCACAGCTCTCCTAGTTCTACCTCCCAAGCTTTGTTCTGGTCATTAACAGTAGACCTAATTAGCTACCGCCACTCCACCTGGCCAAAGACCACCCCTCACATCCATCGATCTGGCAAAAGAGGGTCCTGCGCAGGGACTGCCCAAGCATCGAGGTGAGGCAAGAGTCAACTGCTGGTGCCAGCAGCATGCTGGTGTGGAGGAAGACCACCCTCCCTCCATGCCATGCCATGCCATGCTATGGCCTCCCCACTGCCACCGGCCACCAACTCTGCTCAGGCCTCCCTCTCCTTCAGCTCCTTTCGCGTTAAAGCAAGCAAACCACCGAGGCCTAAATGACTCATGCGTGGATACGCAACCTTCAGTCACGTTTACGGCAAGTAAATGGCTTTTTTTCTTTTTTTAACCTGTTTTATCTGTCGCTGAGGGGACAGGCGAGGCGGGCGCAGGTAACCGATGGGGCTCCCCTCCCACCTCCTCCCCGCTTCGGGACCCCGACGGCCTGCAGGACAACTAACTACATCCCCGGCCAGCATCTGCACCAGTATTTATTCCTGGTGGCGTTGATGTATTTTACACGAAGGGGGCCGTCTCCCTCGCCGAGCAGCTGCCGGGCCCCCTACCCCTTCGCAGCCCTTTCCCGCTGTAGCTAAGAAACTTTGGTTTACAAAAAAACCCCAATCAACCAAACAAACAAAAAACGCAGAAACTTTGATTTCCACCCTCCAACACGGCGCCAGGCGCTGACCTGCTGCCTCACGCCCCCTTCCTGCCCGCCCCGAGCCCCTCGTCCCTCCGCACCGCCCACCCCTCACGACATGGCCGGCGGCCCACCCCCCCA